ACAGGCGGTACTCGTAATTGGCTCATTGGTGACTTAGTACAAGTGTAGCCATCTATGTGTAAAAACAATCAAACAAGTCGCCTCACAGTGGGCATGGCATGTACGCACATGCCATCCCCAGTGGCAATGGGTTAAGATGCTTGCTCATTGTTGCTTATGACACCTGCTTGTTTTTCCTTATGACACTTGCTTGTCACATGTTATGACACCTACTCATCATTCCTTAGAACACCTGTTTATCACTCCTTATGATACCTGCTTATCACACCTCTTTCTCACATCTGTTCATCACTCTTAACCACACCTGTTCTTTACACCTGATTACTACATCTCTTCACACCTGTTCATCACACCTAACTACATCTGCTCTTTACCTTTTTTCATACCTTTTTTCACACCTGTTCATCACTCCTAACCACATCTATACTTCACATCTGTTTATCACACCTGTTCATCACTGCTAACCACATCTGTTCTTCACACCTTTTTATCACACCTGTTCATCACTGCTAACCACATCTATTCTTCACACTTGTTTATCACACCTGTTCACTCCTAACCACACCCGTTCTTCATGACTGTTCATCACACCTCTTCCTCACATCAGGTCCACATCAAGAAGAAACATACTCCTAAGGAGATGGCGAAGGCCCCAGCACGCAAGCGGCAGGCCAAGAAGAAGAATTCTACCCTCCACGCAAACAGCCAAAATACTGAAGAGGCCCACAAGGTCATCACCAGTAATGCTGATTGTTCACAGGTATATATTCCTTGTAGTCTATGGTAGTTACTTGTAGGTCATTGTAGTCTCTTGTATCTGATTGTAGTATTTGTAGTACCTTATAAATACAAGTAGTTTACTGTAGTTTCTCATAGCCCACAGGAGTTCCTTATAGTTTGTGGTATTTCCTTTTAGAGCACTGTAAGTCATGGATGTTCACTGAAGTTCCTTGTATTTCATGATTGGCTATTGCATTCGTTGTAGTTCACTGAAGTTTATAGTAATTCACTGTAGTTTGTGCTGGTTCTTTGTAGTTCATTGTAGCTTACTGGAAATCCTTGTACTTAAGTTAGTTCATAGTAGTTCCTTGTAGTTCACAGTTCAGTGCAGTTCCTTTAGTGTTCTAGGGTTCATTTAGTCAAGAATTTGAAGAGTTTAGTATCTCATTTTATACTTTTGATTTGATGAGTATGTCCTTATTTATTATTATTTTTATTCTCTCAAAGTGTATTTTGTGTATTTTTGTGTATTTAAACTATACTAAAGAACAAGATTTTATTTTAAGCAAGGAATAATGATATTAATGTATGGGAAGTGTATTGTTTTTATTTGTAAGATTAGTTTTATTTTTTAATTCTATTTACTCTACTTTGCTTATGTCTTTATTTATTTATTTACTTATTTATCATTTACACAGTATTTCACATGTTCCTTTTACTTTTTACAGGGGGACATCTTCTCAGACCTGGAGAATACGAACGTGTCTCTTCAGCCGCAGCTCCCCAGCACTCCTCCTCCAACAACACTATCAGAATATCCACCCAGCCCCTCCTATTCATATCAAGCCCAGTCTGCCGCTGAGGACCCACTCATGATAGTTCCAGACATGACCTCGGTGACAGAGGGGTTCACGCAGCTACCCCAAGCTTCCCCCTTGCACCGGAACCTCAGCTCAACCCTCAACTACGATGGAAGTTACCATAGCCCACAGTACCAGACTTCACCATCTCACTTTGCCTCACTCTCCCCTTCCCATGCAACCCTTTCCTATGCAAACGGACACCATCAGGAAGAGAGCCCACTCAATTTTGCAGGATATATGAAGTATGATTAAAGCAATTTGTTAAATAGTCTTCTTATTTTTCTTTACCTGAATTTATCTTGTAGGGAGTCAATTATACTGATATGAAGAGCAAATTAATGTGAAAATAGTACACTGAGAACAGACAGCAATATAATTAGGAAGAAAGTTGGCATAAGTTGAACAGAAAATAAAATACTTCTCAAAAGTTTATTCAACTAAATGTTGTAAATGGCAAGCATATAAGGTGGTTTTAGAGAGGAACAAAAATACCTTTCAATGAATAATGGTTTTCATTAGACATAAGTAGTAATATAGTCTTCAAGAATGACTTGCTGCCAGCACATTGACACCTGGAGGGTATGTACATGCATGCTTAGTCCACTAGGTTTTTATTTTATTTTTGTTTATACATAGATGCCTCCATGTGCTTAGCTGCCAAAGAGCCAATTATGAGACTACCTTATTATAACTTTTCATTCTTTTCCTTGATTTTTGGAAGATGAAAAAATATTACAATTAATAACAAAAAGAGTCTTGGAAAATTCAACAATTGGGATAATCAGTGGAGGCCAGACAGACCTAACTTACTTCTTGGTGACTAAATATTTGTGAAGCCATCTATATATTAACCAAATTCATGAAAGTACAGTGGACAAAGCCTGTACTCGGCACTAATGAATTACAGAATAATTTTA